CCACTAAGGGGGAGGAGACCGCCAAAAGATTTTAAAGTACCATTTCCATGGTAACGCAATGTTTGATTTCAAAAGGGTTTTCACAGGACGAATCTCGGGCTTCTAAGCTTTCAAATGATATATGATTTATGATGTTTTCTAAAAGATTTGATAGAGAAAAAGGACAACAACAAAAAAGAGCGCCAAGCGTCCCACAGGTGGGACGTGACAGTTAAGGGGTTAATTCTTCATTCTTTGGTCTATAATGAGCTGATAGCATCATGCAGTTCCTGCACATCCATGATGCAAATCTTCCATTCCATCACCACATATCGGATTGGGATCTGGTGAACATGGAGGCCATTTGATTATAGTGAACTCAGTGTCATGTTCAAGAAACCAGTTTGGGGTGAATTGAGCTTTGTGACATGGCGCATTATCCTTCAAACTGTAGCCCGAGTTTCTTGTTCTGCTGCTAAACCTCAACTATTTCAAATTTCGACATGTTCAGCATTCAGAGATACTCTTCAGCAGAACTCAGTTGTAACAAGTGGTTATTAAGGCCAGGACACACCCAGCTGACTTAAAAGAACTACACTCTTAAAACAAATGTGTTAAAAACAACACAAAGTGTTATTTTCAACATGTTCTGAGTGTGCTCAACACATATTGAGTTAAATTCAACACACAAATTGTGTCACTTTAGTTAACACATTAATGTGATATTTTTGGTATGTGTCTTACAAAACTGTGTGTTACTGAGCATTTTTTTAAAAGTTTTAAAATAAAAGATAATAGTGTGTTAACAAATTAGATAATTTTATTATGAAATCACACAAATGACCAAATATATACTGTTTGTTAACATGGGATTAATTATAATACTATGTGTTCATTTAACTGTTTTATTACAGTCTGTTGAATATAAAACTGTTAAACAAGAATATTAAAGCATTTCAAACTTGTTAAGCAAGAACTTCTATACATTCCTCTTTTAAAAACATGTATCAAATACTGCACCATAAAACTATATATATATATAGTAAAAATAACAAAAAATAACCATTTCACAAAATTACAAGCAAAAACTGTAAAAATACAGAATAGACCTTATGGTCAAAAGTCATTAAATTACAGTATATTACTGTTGATAATTTGTTTTTAAACTATGGAAAAACTGATAAATTGTCAAATTACGTAGAAAAAAAGCCAACTTTCAGGTTAATCGCCATACATTTAAGGTTATTTTATAAAACTGCTCTGTCCATCTACAGTAATTTACTTTTAAAGTATAGTTTTCCCATGTACAATAACTAAGAAATAATTTATAAAAATGCAGTAAGCACATTTAAAAAAAAGTTTGTATATTTACAGGATTAATCCTTCTTTTTATAGAAACAATCTCACAACTTCAACCAATCTCTGTAAATTAAAAAGTATTTAGAAGTTATTTTATGTCTACCTAGAATAATTTCATTAAAATAAAGATATTATTAATTACAATAACAAAGAAATGTTGTATAAAAATGTAGTAAATTTGTAATACAAAGACCCATTGTCATGATAAGTACACGGAGAGTAGAACTGTCCAAGCACTGAGCCCTGAGGCACACCAGTAGCAAGATGTTGCGACTTAGAAACCTCACCCTCCAAGATACCCTGAAGGACCTACCTGAGAGTTAAGACTTGAACCACTGGAGTGCAGTTCCTGAGACACGCTTTGTCAAGAGGGTTGACAGGACAATCAGGTGGATAACTGTGCCAAAAGCCGCAGACAGATCCAGCAAAATGAGTACAGATGACTTAGAAGCTGCTCTTGCCAGTCACAGAGCTTTAATAACTAAGAGTAGGGCAGTCTTAGCTCAGTGGCCACTTTTAAAACCAGACTAGTTACTGTTCAGGAGGTTGTTCTGTGTGAGAAAGCAGAGGTTGAACATGACTCATTAATTTTTAGTAAATGAATACAATTTTCTGATGAAGTGTTTTATTGATACAATGTTGGTTTTCCTATGAAAAAACAACATACTTCAAGGAGAAATTATTTTTTAACTCTAGGCCCAAATTGCATGTTTTCATGATCCTAGTTAACCCAAAAATTAATGTAGACATTCAAAAATGTTCAAAATCAATAACGATATCTTGACTTCGATACTGGTTCCTGAATTTGTCAAACTCTTAAACCCCTTGATGCCTCGCCACAGCCAATCACCAGCACTTGATTTGGGCACATCAAGCATTCTGCATGCTTACTGTTTCACTGACGTTGAAGTATTAAATTTGGTATCGAACAACAAGACATTTTTTGATGCTCAATGGTTTTGAGGCAATTCGGTCAGTGCCTAAAAAGTATCGGATAACAAGTGGTGAAAATTATCTTATGTTTTACTCACCCTCATGCCTTCCGAGATGTTTTTCTTTCTTCTGCAGATCCCTTTTGCAGTGTTTTTTTTTTAGAAAGTTGTCCAAGATCTGTTGAGGCATAAAATGCATCTGAGTGGGTATACCAACATTTTGATTATCCAAAAATGTAATGTAGAAAGCATAAAGGTAATCCTTATGGTTCCAGTTAATGAAACAAAGCACTACAGTTTAACTATTTACTTTTTATTCTGCTTAAAATGACAATGATTGTTGTTACAATACAATGTAGATTTCTGTAAAAGTGCTTCCCCTCATACAATAAAATTCACAGACATCTTTTCATGTAGCTGTTTTACACTGATTTTGGTTAAATGGTCCTTGGTTTATTTATTTACCCCTTACCAAATAGGAACTGAAAATTATACGCAAAGAAGAACCATTTAAGAAAGAAAGAAAGAAAGAGTTGCATGAAAAGAAAATACATAATTTGTTGTATTATCATATGGCATTAGAACACTTGTCTATGCTGATTACAGATTTAAATAATATTAATAATAATAATAACAAAAGTTGACTTGTTCCACACCTGAATTGCCATGCTTATCTGCTGTAGATCTCCACAGTCTTTCCACATGGCCTAAAACCAAAAAAACATTTTTTAATACTTTGTATTACATTCACACATTACAGTGTATGTTCCATTGAGACAATGATCTGGAAGCTGAGCAGGAAAGGTTAACGGTGATGTTTTGGTCCGCCATGTGATTTTAGCTAAATTTATAGAAAGTAAATTTATATTATATACTTTGACTTAGCTGCATCATATTACTACTTAGGGGTGTAACTGTCCAGGATAGATGCAATTTTCATAATCAACGATCCAATATGTAACGACAGTTTACTCAGCCTCAGGCCTCAAGATTTAGGTTTCATCCCTCATCAGAACACAAAGATTATATCAATTATTACTTATAAGATTATCATATGCACTTATACATGCATAATATAAGTGTAGGTGAGCAAATGCGCCCAGAATGTGAATGCAACGCTTTTTAATTTAAAGTTAAGTGTTTTCCCATAGAAAACCAATACAAAACGCTTAACGCATTAAAGGTGACATATCATGAAAATCTGACTTTTCCAGGTTTTAAGTGCTATAATCAGCCCCCGGTGCATCTACCAACCAAGGAAACGTGAAAAAGATTAACCCAGTAACTTTGTTTTGGTAAGCCTTTTTCTGCAAGCGTCTGAAAAGGCCAGCGTGTCTGATTTCGCTCCCCTTGTGACGTTGCAAAGGGATCTCATTATAATATTACCGCCCCATAATCTGTAA